CTAACAGCGTAATAGGTTGGTAGGTATTACGTTGTAATCTTAACAGTTTTTGATAAGACTCATATTTTACATACCTTGCTTGTTAGCTTTATGATTATAGACTGATATAAAAACGTGTATATGAAAATATACTTTTGCGCTCGTTACTTATTCCCAAAAACTCAGTTGCCTAGCATTTCATTAAGGACACGAGGTAATACCAAAGAGAATGTTGACTTCTTGTAGAAGTAATGCAAGAATAGGCGTAAGGCGCCATTTAAAAGAAAATCTGTATAACAACCACAGAAATATGACTGCCACGCAAAGATACGGCACTTGACACAAGACACCTATTTTTACTTACTTACATGTATTTTTGTACGTTTTCTTTATTATTTTTTATATTACTTGGTTTTATTTCAAGCATTGACATTTAATTATATCTCTTTGCAACGCTTTACTTTTATTAATGTTATAATTTAAATAAAACATCCTGCGACTTCTAGGTATCCTGATTTCAACCTGTGTCCACTTAATCACTAAGTATTTTGAAAGAAATAAAACCTTAAAAGGATATCAATTAAAGAGTAATGAGGGCTATGTTGGTAGAAACTAGTTATTTATTACGCCTATTATTCCATTTAAATTTGCTTTAAGACATAAATAATACATTCCTTTTCCGTTCTTATCGCATATGAATTGGCACGGTCAATGGACTTCTAATTGCCTACTTACGGAGGGAACAATAATATTTTTAGCAGCACTGTTATTTTTAATCATAGATTTTCTCACTCGAAAATCTCAAAAATCAGAACTTATGGCAGGCAGAGTTTCTTGTTATTGAATTCAACTGGCGAAAATGAAAGATATACTTAAAGTATATATTAAAGGGAATTTGGGTGTTCGTTTTGTGCCTATCGGTTAGTACCATTCAATATTGTCAATATAAATATGGTGCTTTATTTCATATTTTAAAAGCCAGCTTTCCTAAGAAAAACATAAAAAATTTAATTACCTATAATTTATTTATTGAACATTTCAAGTAAATCGTGAAACGTTCTATACAAGACAAGACTCGAACCCACGACAGACATAACAAAAAATGGCGTCTGAACTCCACTTTGAATACCTGTAGCAGCTAAATATATTCGACACACAACGACAAAATATTTTCAAGGTTGTATCTTTTAAGAAGTCTCGATAAGTAATTTTGTAAACGAAACAAAATAAATATTGGAATGAGTTCGTCGCCTTATAACCAGTTATAATACTAATCTTTGGGAACGTGTATTAAGAATTGAAGCAGACATAGCAAGATTAAAGCGATACGTTTTTACGACCCATAGCCGATAGCCCACTTTTAAAACTGTGTTACCTGCAGATTAGTGTGTGATTTCGAAGAGATCTTGGTAGCATGTGGTCTCCTGAACATGAAAGGTTAACTCTTGACTCCGATAGTTCTAGATAAGATTGCCTTCTGTATTAAGAAACGTAGCAAAAAACACATAATAGGCACTTCTGAATAGCTTGTTTATAGGCAACTATGAACCCCATGGTTACCTATAAACAAGATGGACTTCACGGAGCATAATAGTACTCCAACTATATAACATCTAAACTGATGCGCTATGGCCCTATTTTAGCTATCGATATTTGGAAATTCAGACCGAAACGCGATTAAACTTCACGGCTTTTCCATGTGTTTGCGATATTCTAAAACCCATATGCAGATTTCCAACATGTTACAGAAAATTTATAAATTGATTACAAAAGTTTCATTGGGGATCGAACCCGCGATGATTATTATTAGTCATACATTGCACTCAACCAACAAGCCCGAATACTTTAAAAAAATGCCAGTCTCCGTCTCCTGAACCATCTCTTGAAAAATTAAATCTCTATACTATTACTATGCGGCCTGAACATGTAATTGTCAACAAGCTATTAATCAAATTAGTAGTAGAGAATTATGACGCAACCACGCGGATGGCCTACACATTACTATACATACGTACGTAATGAATCAAGTGCTTTCTTTTACCAAGGTTACAGCACTTATAATAGAATCTACATGGCACGAAAAAATCATAAAGCAGAAATTAATACAATAATTGTTTACTGACAGAACTGGGCTTTAGTGATAATTATTTATAAGACTTTCATTCTTCATCAGGAAACATCTGCCGAAATCTTAAGTCCTATGTGAGAAAACGTTAGAATCTATCGTCATCGAATGAGATTTAACATCTAAAGGACATAAACAAACCAATGGATGACGTATATCGCCCACCTGGTTTGCGTCGTAAGAATTTCATAATTTCTAGCATGAAGATACATTTACATAAACACATACGAAGATATATATAGTCGAAAATAGGATCTGCATATTATGTAAAAGACTTTATTACTTCTTAACCTTGCCAGGCAAACCGCAAAAATCTGATAGTTACTTGATATTTAGTAATAATTCTTTGTCTCTACGGCTGTCACGAATGGCCAAGTGTACTAAACCACTTTATAAGGATGTTGCATATTACGGCAAACGACCCCACGTGCATTAGCCGTGCTCTGCCAAATGTAACACACATATCAATATCATTATGTATCCTTCAGCGTTTAAGTATAAGAAAAAGAAGCAGATGCCATTATTAAATTGCCTTTCACATTAACCTGAAGACCCTGAACTCATCAAGAGTTGAATTAAACAATAAATTCACTGTTACATCAATATTTTAATTTCATCGTAATTTATGGAAGATCAATACATGATGACAAATAATTATTGAAAATAACTGACTTTTTACATTTGAATTTCAATGCTATAGGCACTCGATATATAATAGATCTAGACGTGAACATTTTAATACGTAAAATAGTTCGCACACAGCATAACGCCATTGTTTTATAATAATACCTAAAATGTTCACATTAGAAAGATAAATCCAATGAGTGAAAGCAAATGGAATGAAGTGTAAAAGCCAATATTGAATATTATCCTAAAATACAGGGTCCAATCACTCTAGTGTTATATACAATGATGCTTATAGTCATTAAAATACACGTCATAATTTCTTTAAATTGTTTAATGTGATTAAAAATTATTGCCCTAACAGGAACAGGTAAACGACATGACTATAGAAAATATTCTGTAACATATTACTTACAATGTCTTAATAGTGAAATTGTTAAAAACAAATAAGATAACAAAAGAGCATTTATCAAAAGTCTATAGATAGTACAATCTATTTTGAAACTAAATTTCTTAAGGACAAACTTTACAAAACAAGGTGCATTATTATATTTGTATGTCACATGAAATAGAAGTGGCAAGTGAAATATACGTAGGTATTATAAAACTACAGTAAAACAAAAGTAAGTGTGTAAAAATAGGCAGACGTTAAACAGTACAATTCATCCTGTAAAGACATTGTTGTGTAACTACATTAATAGAATAATTTAAAGTATTAGTACATATGTAACTTATTAAACTAATCAGCAAATGATTAAACACGAAGATAAGCAATTTGGTCAGTGTCTATGCTAGTTCAAGAGAATGATTTAAACATTTTGATACGACTAAGATTCAGCATAGTGTAGGTTTGCAAATCACTATTAAATGAAATTGTTAATTTTCTTGTATTATAAGATGAACATGCAAAGTTAAGTAACCTTCCCAGGACCTAAACTAATGACTATTAACAGATACTCGCACATTCCACATGTTAAATTCACTACAAATAACTATGATATTTGTACAGCCTGGATTCAAAGTCCTACATCTAATAACTATCAAACTGACCGTCATACTACGAATGATTTAGCCTCCAAAACTAACTCTCACTAACATCACTTTTTACATAGATTCAAGAGGTTTATTACTTTACTCCCTCACTACATGCGCCTATATCTAGGCAAATATATATTGTAATCCTGTATATTATACAACCTAATTATATTACCTATTATAATACGATAGTAGGATACAACATTCTTGTATGGATGCTTTATTTTTATCACACAATTTCTCTCATTACTTTGTGATTAAGTGTAATTAATATCTTATAGAGGTTACATCGCTATCCATGCTGAACGTGTGGGGAAATTTATTGCTTCATAACAATGATGTTAATGAGAGATAAGTTTGTAGATAGTGCAGCTAATGTTCAAATTTTGGTTACTGTACATTCACTAAAAAGGAACTATATAAGATTACGCTTAAAAATAAAGTTTCCTTACATCAGATCACAAACAAGCTTGAATTGCACAACTGAAGACTACATCATACAAGATATGGTAATAAATTAATCTCTTTTATAATAATTATTCTTTACGTTACCTTAACTAAAATATCAACTGATTTAACAATATTTTCTTAAAGTAAAACCAAGTAACAAAAGATCAAACAAGATACAAATTTTTCCTATTAACCATAAAAGAAAACAGTATCACTTATTTTTGTGTAAACTGATAATATCAATATGCACAAGTGTAATATTACTGAAATACAAAAATGGTGTTAAGACACTTTTACAAAAAACCTCACAAATATAAATAGGGCTGATATAAGTGCGCTAACAACAATGAGTAGACTGTCTTCTCAGTTTTGAATCTAAACTAAAATTAACAAGAAAAACCCAATACATATTGTAATTATCTATATATCAAAACAAAGACATTTAACATAGCTAACTATCCCATGTGAAAAGCAAATTCCATTGTATTATTGTAACCGAATAAGGGAGGACATTCCTCTCAGCTATGATATTATAATATGAATATCACCATAGGACCGACAAATAGCCTTGACTCGATCTGACAAAAAGCAAATGCCACAAATCAGATTTCAGTTCTATCTTCATCTTATACACACTTCAGATACAACACTGGGTACAAAAGTTTATATTAACCCAGAGCTGTTGCTAAGAGATGCTCATCATACTCCATGACATTTGTCAAGGAAGATTCACTAAAACAAAGCACCTACTCACAGTATGATCCGTGCGTAGGCTCCAACAGGGCGCTCAGAATTCAGCGAACTCCTTTGCACACTTTTCTGTAGACGATATACGAAGCGCCTCTTCCTCATAGTCATCAAAGTTACTAGTGTCTCCAGGACCCTTGCACCGTGGGATGAAAGGTGCTTCAATCTTCTTTTGGAAAACTGCTATCCAGTCAGTACTGGCAAACCATTTGTGACCTTTGATGTCATTCACTCCCGCCTTCAAATTACCATAACGCTTTGTCAAATCCACTTGAAGGAGATTACGCAACAGGTCTTTCAAATCGGAACCAAAGTGTGATGGAAAACGGACTTTGCCTGATACAATCTTTTCATAAATTTGAATTGGTTGATCTGCAAAGAAAGGTGGGTAACCTGCTGCCATTTCATAAACAAGTACACCGAGAGCCCACCAATCTACAGCTTTGTTGTAACCCTTGGATAGGATGATTTCTGGTGCCAAATACTCAGGAGTACCGCACAGGGTCCAAGTGCGCCCTTTCACTCGCTTAGCAAAACCAAAATCGGTTACTTTTAGGTAGCCTTGTGAATCAATTAACAAGTTCTCAGGTTTCAAATCACGATAAATAAGATCCAAATAATGAAGGTACTCAAACGCTAGGACTATCTGAGCCGCATAAAAACGAGAATGTGGCTCTGAAAATCTACCCACCTTTCGCAGATGGGAGAACATTTCTCCACCAGGAACATATTCTAACACCATATACAAGTTGGAGTTATCCTTGAAGTGAAACTTGAGGCTCACCAAAAAAGGAAAATTTATGGCTTGCAGAATTCGCTTTTCGTTCAGTGTATGTTCTACTTGTTTCAGCTTAACGACTTTCTGCTTATCTAAAATTTTCATAGCATAATATTCTTTTGTCGGTTTATGTTGAACTATCATAACTCGCCCGAAGGATCCCGTCCCGAGCGTTTTGATTCGTTCGAAATCGTTCAATCCGGCGGTGTTGGTGGGATTCTTCTTCCATTTCTCCTCAAAATCTTCTTTCGCCTGATCAAGGAATTCCTTGACGCTTTCGGCAGCGTCGACCTTTTTGTTAGCGGTGGCAGCATTATTGCCCATGGCGCACACCACTAACTGTTATAGTGCTCCGATTTGCCGTAAAGAGGCTACCTTGTACTAATCGATGCCTGCCTGAGCGAACGTAAGAAAAAGGCAGGTCAACACAAATCGATTTGAAACACAGACATTCTCTAAGTTTTTGCACATACACACGTCACAAAAGACACTTATTACAGGCACTCATTGACACGTTTGCATTAACAACTTGAAATCCCAGAAAATTTTCGTCACATTCACAAGAAATAAAATGGCTTCCACTGTTAAACTCGATTGGCAGAGCGAGAGCGAACGAACACTTCACACTCACGAGAGGTGGACTTATGCGCATGTTGCTAGTTGAAAAAAGTGAAACTACTAAATTTATATTACTAGGAACAATTTCTACTAATATTTTCGTTTCTGCATTCTGTACACAAATTATAACTTTTATGCAAATAATAATATTATAGTGCGAGCTCGACATTTTAATAATATTTTTTATTGGACTAATCAACTCTTGCAATATTATGTATTAATTGAATCAAGTAGTTAAATGGTATTTAGATAATACATAGCAGCTGCACAGACTAAAACAATCTTCATTTGCATATATACCTAATACCACATAACATACGTAATATTGGAATCATATTATGCTTTAAAAATATAAATACCTTGTTTGCTTAATTATTTATCTGCTAGAATAAAATAACAATAAAAACCAGACACTGGTATCCAACACAAAAAAAAAACTATTAATATCCCAATTCTGTTGTCAGTTGTATTTGTATTGATAGAAAATATTTGTTATTATAAAGTAAAAGAAAATAAAATGTATATGGCTTTTATTGTACTCACATCCTTTTACTAACTGTATTGTTACAAGAAGTGTAACCATAGCAACTACATAATATCTTCTTAAGAATGTTGGTTTGGTGTGGTAACTGCGCGTCTTTTTGTTTTACTTTTTTTCAGTTTTAATCCTATTTTAATTGGTGTAGCCCCACAGGTTTACAATCGAGCATAATAAACTCCTGTAATATTCTTTTAATGTAAGTTTTCTGTGACATTGTGATCTTTCTCCCAACATGGGTGAATTGAATACCCAAGTAATGATGAAGGGCACCCATGTCTCTTAAGTCAAATGCTCTCTTCAGCTGATCTTTGACTTCTTTAAGTAATTTTTCTGATTTATAGCACAGGATTAAGTCGTCTACATTTATTGTAGCCAATATTTTCTCTCCCTTGCTGTCAAGAGTATATAGACATGGATCGGCTGTTGCGTTTTTAAGTAAATTACACAGTTGGCGGCGAAAGGTTTCACCAGCTTCTATAATATCACTTGCCAATATAAGTCTATGAAAAATAAATGTAGGTTTTGACATTTAAAAAATATGTCTCCTTCTTCGTCACAGTAGTTGCAAATATTGCTATTTATTATATTGAACCTCGCAAGATGTGCGGGTGCGGCATTGTGACCAAATCTCAATCTGTTAATTGTAGTGATAAATTCACGACTAGCTAGCGAGCTCGTGATACCAGGGTTTGTTTGGTAAAATTTCTTGTATACTTCCATAGCATTTTCCTTTACATTTTGGTCTTCTTTCCAGACGTTAATATAATAAAATATATCCTCATAGACAACTTATTAAGTCGTTTTTATTATTTACTCTTTAATTTATGTAATTTTGTAGTAGTAGCATAAATTCTACCAAAAATTTTAGTATACTTTCATCTGGCAACCTCACTCGATAGGTTTAGAAGTATTTTAACTAGATGGCGTTAAAGGTCGTAAACCCGATTTTCTATAATTTTCAAAATGTTCGTGCTAGGGCCACTGCTCTGTGACTTCACAACTAACTGTAACATTGGCTTTAATATTTAAAAAATCCTTTTTGTAAAAATAAAGTTTAGTCCATAATTCGATTAGGGTATTAAGTACAAAGACGCGATGGCAATATGTACGCGTTGTATACAACCGTAAACATCACAGGTATGTTTTCGGTTTAAGTCAATCAAATATAGGTACCTATATTTATTTGTAAGAATTCAGGTACGTTTGTACATAGGTAGGCATTAGGTATCTAACAGCTTAGTCATCAGATGTATTTGTATTGATTTAATACAATATAATATGTTCAAGATTGACTGAAAGTTGAATACAATGTATTTTCGTATACTTTAAGTACAATATTATACCTAGGTAGGGCTATTAACCATCCTTCCACACTATAAGAAGCCTATGGTTGGTAGGTACTAGGTCTATATGTCTGAAACTTAGAAGATTCGAAAAAGTAGTGGGTAAATGGGTATCTTTATTTGAGGACGGATACTTCAAGAAGTAACATAGGTTTAAATAAAACACTTTAACGGTTTAAAACGCGATAAATTAGTTAAACTTATTTGAAACTGATTTTTAACTTCGGCCCGTCGTTTCGGATTGCACCAGCCGTGGTCACGGAGAGACTGTGTATTAAACCGTTAAGTGTTTTATTTAGATGTGTACTACTCGCGTAAACTATAGACAGTATTTAAGTAACATAGGTAATAAAGTTTAAAAAACAATTATTCATGGATAGGGATCACACTAAATGTTAAGGCTAAAAGTTATATATATTTTTTTTTATATAATTGTTCGATACAAAATGAAGTCTCCTTTTGAAGGTTAGCATTTTAAGTTACCCATGGGTAGGCTTATTTACGTTATCACGTAGGTACTACATAGTAACTACTTGATCCCGACAGAATCTTTACGTTTCTTCATTTGGTAGACTTTCAAGTAGCTGTACCTAACATACCTACCAAATTTTACCCTTAGCTTGGTTTTGTATTCTACTATATACGTTATATAAACATATGAATTTATAATAAAGCTACATGAAGAGACAAGCTTTAAATACCTACTTAATAGTACTAGAGTACCTACCTACATGGGTACCTACATGCGTATCGTGTTAGCATTATGGCAAGCTTTTAACTGTCTTAGTAGTATATTTATTATCTGTATTAAAATCTAATTATTGTTCTCTACAGAATTTGTTACGAAAATGGGTAGGTAGGTATATCCTAGTCTATCTTAATAGACCTGTGTAGGAAATACGAAATTCTATACTCCACTGGGTACATATTAGACGCTTCGTGAAACCAAGGCAAGGTTTTAAGGAAAGAGGGCAAAATCAACACGAACTATCATTAAAAATTGTTTTGGGAATGTAATTTTTCTTTTGTACGCACATTACTTATTTACAGAATTATGTACAAATAATAATATCTTTTAACAATTAGTATATTTGAAATATTGAAACAGGACAGAGCAAGGTAGATTACCGCTTGCTCACCTCATTTGTACAATTTCAAGGTCTTGTGAAGTCCTCTTGACATTGTATATCCGTCTCTTTCGTTCATATAACGAACTGTATTGTTTCTTTCGCTGGAATGAAGTTGGCGCGAAACCTACAATAAACGCGTACGCGAAACGTTGTAGCAGCGCGATATTTTCTTCCTTCCCCTTCATTTCGTCGTCAGTGTTTGTGGCGTGCAGTGATCGTTAAAGTGCGTGTTGTGGAACACGTGTTGGAATATTTTATATTGTAAAACTAAATTAACTTTCTACAATTAATAATGGCAGACGCAGCCGTCGACAACAAGTAAGTGTTAAAATGTTACAGCGTTTTTTTTTAAACAAATGGCGCTAATAACCGTTTTGGCGGCTTTGTAAACGTGATCAAAATGGCTTCCAATAATTTATTTGTATCGTTTGTAGCTTTTGTTTTGATGCAGAATAGTTTACTAGCCTTTTCTCATAAAGATATCAATATAAATACGTGTATATCCATTCACTTGTTAAATGTATCCTGCCAAATTAGGGACACACGCGGGAAACTTTTTATATGTATTTAAAATGTTTAGGAACTTGTTTAGTAAAGTGCGTCTGTTTGGGTTTGATTGTAATGGTATAAAATATTGTATTACATATAGACTAACATTCTAGAACGTATAATTACACGGTAAATTTAAAAACACGCCGGTGCGTTCGATCAAGATGGCGCTGGGTGCGCAGCGTGCCGGCGCGGTAGCGTCACCAAAGCGCGCCCGTTTCAAATCAAGACTCGCATATTGCTTCTTCGTGGTTACGTTATCGTTTGCGAGGGCAACATGTTGTCATAAGTTATTTTTAACGCTTTCGACTTCGTCTTAAGGCAATCTAGTGGTGCGAGTAACGAATTCATTCAGCAATTACGTCCACATTCATTTTCCTTGCAACTTTCCCACATTCAACCTTGCGCAACAACGCGCCGTTTTTGTTACAAGCTAGCTTCCTCTTTTAAAGTAGTAACTAGGCGCATTTGAACTGCATAGTTCTAGTTATTAGTACCAGTTACACGGTTAATACGTAATTATTTTAGCACTAACGTGTGTTAGGATATACTCGTTGATACTTTATATTTCTAATCGTGTTAATGACCTTACGATGAGGTCACCATAGTATTTGTAGGCACATATTTATTTATGTAAAATTTGTTTTTAAATTAACATTCACTATGCTTATACTCAATACACTTTTGCAATTACAGAGAAGTAGCACCAGAGGAGGTAACCTCAACAGAGGTGAAAGAATCTCCAGTTAAGAAATCTCCTGCTAAAAAGGTGGTAGAGGAGAAACCAGAAAGCAATGGAAAGGAAGAGAATGGCAGTGGAGATGCACCTGAAGAAACACCTGCTGAGAATGGAGATGAAAGCAATGATGCCGTTGAGAATGGTGAATTTGAAGGTAAACTAATTTATTCTAAACCCTACATTACAATTTAAACAGCAGTGGATTTCATAAAAAAAAAAGATAGTTCTGTTGTTTATTAAATAAACCTATTTGTTTTCAGAAGAAAAAGACACAAAGGAAGCAGGAGTGAAGAGGAAATCTGCAGCTGCTGACAATGGTGACGCTACAGAAAAGACAACACCTGAGAAAAAACAAAAAGTGACAGAAGAAGCTGCCCCTGCTGAAGCGGAGGCCTAAATTTCGTCAAGTCCCTTTCTTGGTTTACTGCAATGCATTATGTTCATTAGGGCACAACTTTTAACAGAACATATCCTTTGTAAACAATATACACACTCGCAATAATACCACAGATAGAACCTATTTTGTACTCAACTTTATAAGGGTTGTGCTCTTTTGACGCCACACTTTAAGTAATAGTTTAACTACTATTGAACTTACCTGTAAAACGTACCTGTAAAGTGTAAATTTTTGATGTATGGTTTGTGCATAGCAGTGAACTGAACACATTTCGATTCCGTGTTGAATGCTGTTCTGCATATCGGTGTCTAACTAGAACATATGGGTTTTTTGAATTGTACATTTGTAAATCGGCTACCAGACCGCCAGTAAATACTGCCAAAGGATTCACCTCCGGTGAAAACAATTCACGATCCGTTCTGTGAACGACGCGTTAAACAGCTTCCGAAATACAAGGTCTAGATAAACTAAGATAACTTTAGATAAATAATTCATTTATAAATTTAAGTTAGCAGTTAAATTTCGCACATTTCGTTTTACATCATAGGCATTAATACTTAACCATAAACATTCCTTGACTATGAATTGTGTTGTGAATTTATAGGGTTGCCAACTTAATTATATCAATTTCTGGTTTATTTATATAGAAATAGCTTCTTATTTATTTACTTCTGTAAAATTTATATTTTATTGCAACATTAAAAAACTAATTAAATATTGACAACCCTATGTGGACGTCAAGCTCGGTGAACTCGTGGCTCATTACCTTCGAGCAGTGCTCGGCGCCTGCTTTCACTTGTTGGTGTCTTTAACATTACATAAACTTACGACGTAATATTTTAAGGTTGAAACATAAGTTCAAAGTTGACTAACTAATTTGTGCTATTTTGTATTTCTTATGGTCTTAACCATATTTCTGATTTTTGTTTCTAATTTATTTTGCACTGATTATTTTATGTGATAGATACAAACTAAGTAAGGTAACAAAGGATACGAATCTTATAGTCCTTATCGAGTTTGAGGAAATATTTTGACTAACTGTAAAATGTTTCAGGCAATAAATAGTTCAATCTATCATTTGTTTTTCTTATTTACCATCATCTTAAACGTGATATTTTGTAGTATATACAAGCATTTTTTATAATAAAAAGTTATCTAACGTATATTTATTATTTTTGTTACCCACACATTTTCACTACGTGTATTACAGATAATAACTTCACCGCAACTCAGTAACATAGGTAAATATATAACTATGTGTTCTTTACACTGTACATCAATGTTTATTGCGTTATTCATATGATGAGCGTTAGAATCCATCAATTACTATGGGTAAATCAAGGCCAGCTCTAGTTGTCTTGGTTACTACTCGTATACAGTACACCAGACTACGTAGTCATTCTTCGACTTACTATCAGTTATATTGCATGGACCACCAGAGACACTTATGTCCCAATAAAACAAGATGATTATAATATTATTTTTACTTACCTTGTTTCACAGTTCGTGGTCTCAAACGACGCAAAACATCAACATTTGTAAGTAACGGTTTATTCAAATCATAGTCGTTTAACATCGGGACACTGACGTGATTCGAGTTTAATTTCAGTACTAATTAACGAAGAGAATAATGCACTCGCCGAGAAAGCATTTGAAATAGCAAAGGAGTATGTAAGGAGAAATCCAAGTTTGGGCTTGGCTGTCGACCCTATTATCGTTGTTGGTAACCGTACAGACGCTAAGGCATTTTTAGAGAACGGTGAGTTTTTACAGAGGATAGATTATATTTGATACACAAGTTAATAGAGTAATAATTCTCACGGAAATAATATATGCTGAACGTGTCAACGAGGTCAATTAGAGTATTTCCAGGTCGTAATACACCGAATATAAACCCAATATTTCAGTTTGTAGAAAGTACAACGACATGGTGACAGGTAAGAGACCTCCTCATGTAGTTTTGGATTTTACTATTACCGGCGTCGGGTCAGAGACCATAAAATCGTTTACGGCAGCACTAGCTTTACCCACCGTTTCGGGGTCGTTTGGTCAAGATGGTGATCTGCGGCAATGGCGGGGACTGGATGCAAATCAAACACAGTATTTACTTCAAGTAATGCCTCCAGCGGATCTCCTTCCGGAGTCGATACGCGCCATTGTAACTAAGCAAGGCATTACGAACGCCGCTATTATTTTCGACGAATTTTTCGGTTGGTAACGCTCAATATATTATTTAACAGCTGTTGGTCATTGACCTCATTTGATCGTGACGCATTCTTTGCAGTGATGGATCACAAATACAAGTCTCTTTTGCAAAATATTCCGACACGGCACGTGATCACACCCGTAAAAAGTTTTAGCAAGGATGAGATTAAAACGCAACTTCGAAGTCTTCGGGAGCTAGACATCGTTAATTTCTTCGTTGTCGGTAGCCTGAGGACTATAAAGAATGTTCTGGACGCTGCTAATGAGAATCAGTATTTTGGTAGAAAAACTGCATGGTTCGCTCTGACGTTAGATAAAGGAGACGTTAGTTGTGGATGCAAGGATGCTACAATCGTGTATATGAAACCTACTCCGGACGCTAAAAGCAGGGATCGACTTGGGAAAATAAAAACGACTTATAGTATGAACGGAGAACCGGAGATTTCTTCCGCTTTTTATTTCGATCTGTCTCTGAGAACATTTTTAGCAATCAAGTATATATAACTTTTCTATCTTCAACTGCGTTCTAATTGCGCATGCAATTTTAGAATAAACGTGCAATGTAGGACGTCTAATTATAGTACCTACGGGATTTTCCATGAGTAATTTCGTTTTATGAATTTCCAGATCACTTCTTGACTCTGGCAAGTGGCCAAACGACATGAAATACATGAGCTGCGATGACTATGACGGAAAAAACACTCCGGCAAGGACCATGGATCTGAAGACTGCATTTCAAGATGTAGGCAACAAAAAATAAATAAAAAAATGTTATGCAAATTGAACGCTTACGACAAGTAATTTTATTCACAAAACCGTTGACCTGAATTGAAAATAACCTATTTGTCGGCGAAATCGTCTGGCACATTTTGTATCGTTTAGTTTGCCAATTTTTTCACAGGTTAAAGAAACGCCAACATATGCGCCATTTTTTATTCCCGATGATGGTTCAATGAACGGACGGAGTTACATGGAGTTTACAACAGACTTAACAGCCGTGACCATAAAAGATGGCGCATCTATCGGAAGCAAGTCTTTAGGGTCGTGGAAAGCTGGGCTCTCGAATCCGTTGACACTGACAGATCCGGATAATATGACAGATTATGCGGCTCAACTTGTGTATAGAATTGTCACTGTGGAAGTAAGTAGGGGAGAACTGTGGTCTATTTTTTAAATCTATGTAGAATAACCATTACCATATTTGATTTACTTGCTAATGAAATAATACTATAACAAATCTGTAAGAATGACTAGCTTATACTTTTGGAATTCACTAAAAGCGGCTTGAAAATTATACTATACAAAAAATAACTTATTATTCATTTGTTTTCATACAACTGTGCAAACATTAGCTTTATTAGCGCAGGCGCAATCGTTCGTTAACATCAAAATTATCTCTTGAAATGTCAAAACGTGACAATTTTGGTAAAAGTTACATATATATTTTTCGTTTTGGAAATTCAATTAGATCAATCAGTTTCAATTGTTAATATATACGAGTTTAAATAAAATTTAAATTAAATAATTCAAAGACACTGGTCGCTTTGAACCCACAACGAAAGCGTACCGTGCTCAACCAATCCCGGTAATTCAATTGGCAAAACTACAACTAGATACTCGATCGATATACTCTTATCTAAAATCAGACATCACAAATGTATGATTAATTTGATTACAGCAACACCCATTCATAATAATAGACGATCAAGCACCCAAAGGTTTTAAGGGGTACTGTATAGATTTGATAGAAGAAATCAGACAAATAGTTAAATTCGATTATGAAATAAGCCTAGTCCCCGACGGCAGTTACGGCAAAATGGACGAGAATGGCAACTGGAACGGAATAATAAAGGAGCTGATAGAAAAGAGAGCGGATATAGGTTTGTCTTCGCTGTCCGTGATGGCAGAGAGAGAGAACGTAGTCGACTTCACAGTGCCATATTACGACCTCGTAGGAATCACCATTTTAATGAAATTACCACGGACGCCAACGTCGCTGTTCAAATTCCTAACGGTTTTAGAAAATGACGTTTGGTTTTCTATTCTAGCCGCTTATTTCTTTACAAGGTGAGTTATTAATTTATTGTATTTATTTATAGTTAACATCGCTCGACCGTGTGAGCAGGTAGATCCTAAATACCATTAGTAGTATTACCGGATACGCAGTAGATTATTTTTTAAATAATATTTAACACACGCAGCACAATGTAAATTAAATAAAATGTTTGTGCAAAGGCGGTATAATCGATTTTTAGCTTATTTTTCTTCTTCAGATTTTCTATTCTATTTTGTTATTTCCTTCATAATAACGTTTTTTTGTTGTATTTGATACAGTTTACTAAAAATTTAAGCGTATTCGACGGCTCGGTGATATCGTGGAAATGTCATGGAAATAGGACAGTGTCTGTCACAATAACCACCGATCGATGTTAGGTGTGATGGCTAGCTGTATCTATTATTTCTTATCTGATTTTAAGAAATGAGGTCAACCACGATACTATGTAACAGAACGGTTTCTTCTTTGAATATATGTTGTATTGAAGTGGTCATGGTTACAGATGTTGTTTGCAATATGCTACAATCTTGACGTGCTAGTTGCTCTAACGGTAAATGAATGGCTTATTGTCAATGCCTCGTGGGATCGATCCCTACCAGATCCAATACGTTTCTAATCATTTATAATTCTTCTGAATTATGTTTCACTTTGTCTGGAATTCTGGATATGAAATCGGTGGTACAAACATCGATATCCTGCCCGGGTTGCGAACCATCCTCCACAAACGAGAACCCGTTAAGTTAACTCGCGTGTCGGTTTAAGTTTGTGGATCCGATCTGAATCGATTGGATCCGAATATCCAGACCCAAAATAAGTTGACAAGGTATATTGTTAAGGTGTTATGTGGCTGGGTAATTTCACCCTCCATCATGTTTGTGGTTCTCCTCCTATCTCAAAAAAATCTAATTAATAAATGACATAATGATTTGTGACTACTCCGCACTTTTTGTACTATAGAACCACAAACCTGTAAGTTTAAATGAAACCAATATGAACTAAATCATTTTCTTGGTCAATATTTACTATAAGATCTAACGCAATCAATAAAAATATAAGACTACCCTCTACCCAGTCCGTACAAAATTTGACGTTTTGATTTATAATGGCATGAATGAATTCATTTATAAAATAAATTGTATACAGATAATCAAACAATACATTGGTTTTAGATTACAGATGGGTAATATTGATTGATTTTGATACATATTATCATGCATTACTGTGATAATATTTGTATCGTGCGATAAGATTTCTATCGACATCAATCGATAAGGAAACTCGATACTAAAGCCCGCAATAATATTCAATAGGCACCCGAGAAATTATATAAAAAAAATGTTTACTTTTTAATATTTCGTCTAATAAATATAGACCCGTTGAGTCATTTATTTGACCCAGAAATGGATATAAACACGTGCCAAAATGCAAGAGCAGTTCAATGTCGTCTATATGCGAACTGTGAAACTATTTATTTAAAAAAAAGAAGATATTTCAGTTTTAAAACAGTGAATAATTTATAAATGACAAAAAATTTTTGTTTGTCACCCCGGTGCCATTTTCACAGTTAAGATGTTTTTAACACTACTCACACGCTTTAAAAAAAAGTGTTTTTTTTTTTTTTACAAACATGCTCAGATTCACTGCAAATAAAGTAGGAACCTCTAGTATTCCGTGACCAAGGTGGTTACTAAAAATCCAAAAGTACTTTTTACATTTTTAGTTTAAAATTATTGAACAAATACAATATTTCGCAATTCAGACCGTTAAAAGTGTTTCATTTCCGGTTATTGGATTTTATATAACCAAATGCGAGCAATACACCATAGTTGGTATAAAAGTAAAAAAACTTGTAGGTACGTCGTTTTGAATTTAAAATAAAATTTGAGATTTCGTAAGACGCGGACCAAATCGAGGTGTTTCGATTTTTCGGTTATTGACCCCATCCTTTGGAAGTTACTTCAGGTAGTAAATTCGACAATCTAATATTGCTGCATACTGAATGTTCATTTACATCAGAAAATATATACACAATGTTTTACAAGAGCAGCCAACTTCATAGTATCTGGTATACCTAATTTTGATACTAAGTACGTTTACCTTCTGCCTCACTTGAAACATTTTCTTTCTATGCGGAATTATTCCCACTTCTAATTACGGTACGGTTTAGTAATAATTATTACCTACTCTTGTACGAGTAGTGCTTAGGACAATGTGCACTTAAAATACGCAATATAATAAAATTATTAAACGTGCGATCAAGACTAACAAATCACCTTCGCTTCGAAGTTAGCATTGATAACGTACCTAGCCGTGACATACAAAATAGAGCCATAAATTCCAGATAACAATATGAACTGAGTACTAAAATAATGCTTCTAGCTTAAGTACCCTAGAATGGGTTTAATAGTGAGCGGAAAGCGCCGAAAATATTTCATTAGTTAACTATTTTATATCTTGTCCGACATGTTTCTAATCGACTTATAATTTTCTGAAACATGTTAGACTTCGTCTGTAAATCTGTATATTAATTAGTGATAGAATTATCGAAATTCCGTCCAAAAGTGAAGAATCGCGTTTCGGTCTGTGGATTTCTGAATATTCAAAGCCCAGATAGGTCAACAGTGCATCTTATTTAGATGTTATGTAGCTGGGTTATTGCACCTAGCATCATGTGAACCCTATGCGCGTCTTGCTCTATAGGAAAAAAAGCACTCCCATCGGGATTCTCTTAGGAAACTTATAGATGAAACCGGCATTGCCTGCTAAATTTCGAGTTCTGCGTTTTGGCTAACTATTAACCTCGTACTAGGTTCTCAATCTCGTTCGCGTTAAGAGACTATTAACGAACTTACGGAAATCATGATCAGAGACCAGAACCATAAGACTTTTTTGATTTGATGATTCTACTGGTCCCTAAAATTACGTCGGTTGTTTAATTTTACAGTGAAGGACAAACAAATTCAGATTTTTTAAACACGTTTTTTATCATGTAAACAAGCCACGGACTTGCTTGATGGAAGGTGAAATACAGCCATATATTAAGTATACAAGATGCGCTATCGACTTATTTTGGTTTTGGATTTTATCATATCTTTTATTACATAATGTATACATTATTTACTCACAGCAATAATATGAAGTAATTATATTACTTTTTTCAATTATTGTTTAGGTAACATATGGTATATTATACTCTGTGTAAAAAGCTTAAATTTCTTGTACCTTAATTAGAAATCCTTTGTTAAAGTTTCTTAATGTGGGTGTTCGACAAATGGAGTCCATACAGCTACCAGAACAACCGTGAGAAGTACAAGGACGATGATGAGAAACGGGAATTTACGTTAAAAGAATGTCTTTGGTTCTGCATGACATCACTGACGCCGCAGGGAGGGGGGGAGGCGCCAAAGAACCTGTCTGGGCGACTTCTTGCAGCTACGTGGTGGCTTTTTGGGTAATATCTTGATTCTGATACAAAAAATAAGTTACTCTACCCTTATCTACTCATAACTTTATAAAAAGACTGCTCACAAAGATAGCAAATTTGTAAACCTGATTAAATTCACTGATGTTTTAGAAAACGTGTCTACCTTTTACAAACATATTATAAAAAAAAATTAATGTTGTATGTGACGCCCTCTAGCGAGGGCATGTGGTTGGCACATACAATCTGCGCTTTCCGTGAAACTCAGATCTCTAACGTTTTAAATATAAGAGATCTGGGTATTGACAGTGTTAAAGTGAAACACTATTAACAGTTTAAGACGCGAAATATAATAAATACTAAACTTACTTACAATTTATTTTTACAACGGTCCGACTTCTAAATTGTAAATTAAATATATTCGCTAACTTTTGCGTTTAAACCCTTTTTATTTAAAGTGTTTATTTGAATTACCGAATTACTTATTACTTGCGTAAACTACAGACAATACTTGATGTTAAGTTACACCTCCAGCTATGGAGGTTAATGATAACTGAACTGATGTAGTCTCTAAAAATTGATCTCTGAAAATTTCAGCTTCATAATAATAGCATCGTATACGGCAAACCTGGCTGCTTTTCTCACGGTGTCACGTCTCGACACCCCGATAGAATCTCTAGATGACCTGTCCAAGCAGTACAAGATTCAATACGCGCCTCTCAATGACTCCAGTTCCATGACGTACTTCGAAAGAATGGCCAACATTGAAGTCAAGTTTTACGAGTAAGTCTGATTAATTCATTCATTGGAATTCCAAGGTACGTTGCCTTCCGTTGGGAGGCAGAGTTGAGATCGTTACGGTTTTTTGTCCTGCCTTTTTGTGTGAAGATAGTATCTACGTATTTTAAATTCGAGTCTAGACAATAATAACACGATTATTTTGGTTTTATATAAATTTGAATGAATGAATGTACCAAAAAAAAATTAAATAATGAAAAAATTTAAAACGATAGAGAAGACAGACAAGCATGAGGTTTTCTTGATGGGAGTTGAAGCCATATAACGTCTACACCATGCGCTGTCACCTATTTTGGCTTCGAGTATTCGGAAATAAACAGACTGAAGCCGAAACGCGATTCAACTTCGGACAATTTTTTTTATATGCGGGCGGTATATCACCCGCATCAACCAAAAATAAAATGTAGGCAAATGGCAATATGTATAAATAATTAAGATATCCAACAAAATGTACGCTTGATTGAATCTACAATAACAAATAAATGTTTTATTACGTGCAGAAATAACTGTTTCACTGACAAATAAGGAAAGAAAGACGCTTATCGCACAATAGTTTATAAACAATTTGATTTATTGTACATAGGTTTCATTTGTTTGATTTGAGATTACTGAATAGCATAGTTACCGATATAATATGTTGTTCTTATCAACGGCTTATCGGTCACGAAGCCTGTCTGATAACGCAGTTTCCGCCTTGACGTTATAAACAAGACTTTTCTACAGAACAACATTCTTAGGATTGCAAAGTACTGTGCAACATGATTTAAAAGGACAAAGGGGAACTAAGCAATTAAAATCTCTACTTCACAGAGCAGAATGATCTTATGCTAGATTTGAATTGTTCTTAAATCAACGCAAAGGTAGATTTGTGCTGTAAACTTCCTTTTTTAAAATTTTCCACATTGACAATATTTTAAAGAACCTCCAGATATTAAAAAGGAAGTTATAATAATTGTATGAGTTCTTAAATGTCGTCTTTATAGAAAGATTAACCTCCTGTTTAAATAATATTGTTATAAAAACAGATAAAAATGCAACGTCACATAATACACACAAACTAGGGTTGCCCCAAAATAATTTAATAGCTTTATATATTCGCGTGTTAATTTTCATAAATAGGGATTTCTTTGTAAGATTTCGGCGATAAAAGTAAACAACATTGCTTACTATATGATTATTACCTCTATAGTAATACTATGAACCGCGGATACTATGAACCGCGTTTAATTAGGGAAAAAACGCTCTCTCTAATTTATGGTTAGGTCTAATTAAATATTTGCGTTAGTGCATTAGCTAACATCACGTGAGTTTGATCACGAGAAGCGCTAAAGCAAATTTGCATTCTACTTCTTACTTAGTAATTTAATTAATTGTACATACTGTGTAACATGTACGTTACTTTTAATTATATTGTACTAGCTGTGCCCGCGACTTCGTTCGTGTGGAATAGTGACTTTAGGTAGAATTTTTAATTATTTAGGCTGCTATTTACTTATTACTTATTTATTTATAAAAGGGCGCATTCAAGGCAGCCAATCTGTGTGGTACTCTCACATCACTCCTACTTTAACTCCCACTCCCACTTCCATTCCCAAAAAGCCAAAGAAGAAAGTTTCGTTGTTCTAGGTTCAAAAATCACGAATTTCCGTATAAACTTTCATCCCGCTTTTCAACCGTCTTTTGGCATTAAAAAGCCTATGTCCTTTCTCAGATTCTAGAATATCGGTGTACCAAATTTCATTTAAATCGGAAGAGCAATCAGATAGACAGACTTACATTCGCATTTATAATATTAGTATAGATAGATACTGTAGATAATATTACAGCATAAAATAGTGCTGTAGTTAGCGCTACTGTCGAAATCCACAGTACTAAGTTTGTTGAAAGATCTATAATATCATAGTACCTAACCTGTAAGTGTAAATAAATAAAGAATTTAATTCCACCATTACATATAAGTAAAAGAATATTTTTAACTTTCAACGTAGAAAATACACGGTCAATATTTTAGGACGTATACCTATGTACAAATTAAGTTAGCAACAGAATACTAACTTTTGTGCAAAAATAAGTAACGGTTTTAATAAAAACACTTTTATCGGTTTAAAATGCGAAATATATTAGTTTCATCAGTAATCACGGTCTGTGTTAACACGGAGTTATAGATAGTATTTTAATGAAATATGTACACGCACACACAATTTTCTTTAATTTTCAGAATATGGAAAGAAATGAGTCTCAACGATAGTTTAAGCGATGTTGAACGAGCGAAACTGGCCGTATGGGACTACCCAGTCAGTGATAAGTACACAAAGATGTGGCAGGCTATGAAGGAGGCCGGGTTACCCAACACAGTCGAAGAAGCTGTTGCTAGAGTCAGAGCGTCTAAGAGTTCTAGTGAAGGCTTCGCTTGGCTTGGCGATGCTACTGACGTAAGGTTCGTATAGATCAATATATCAATTATTTTGGTATTTTTTCGTCCATTAGTTTTAATTAGGTATGTTGTAAACTATAAAACGGTCTCTGCCGTTTCGCCAAAAATTGTTTGTCCGATTATCATTTGCCAACTAACGATTCGCAGAATTTTCACCTTGAAGACTGTTTGTCAATTTTTTCTATAGCAACGTTTCATTTGGTAAAATTATTGTTAATCTGATTATTGTATTTTTTAAGTATTGTCACTCATGACTAAGTTATTTTCTACTTATATGGTTAGAATTTTAAAGGAAGAGTTCGAACAATAAGCTAGAATTTGCTGTAGGTACCAAGTTCTGACCAGCTGTGACCTGCAAATGGTTGGAGATGAGTTCTCAAGGAAACCGTATGCTATTGCAGTACAGCAAGGATCGCCCTTGAAGGACCAATTTAATAATGCGTTAGTAGAATTATATTTATTTATAATTATATTTATCAGACCAATTCCATGTTTAATACCTGTTAGTAGTCAGCGACTAGTCAGTGGCATAAAGCAGAGTTTACCAATACAACTCCGACTCCAACTTATTTCTGTATCATTAAGTTTCACTGATTGATTACCTAAAGCACCTCTCACTAAAAACAAATGCTTAATAATAACCCTTTGAAGCTGTCGACTTTTGTGAAATCGTAATGATCGAGTACAGAATATTATTTATTGTTAAGCTAACCATAAAAAAGCCTTTTTTTAACTAATTTGGCACGAGGTAGGTTTATTGCAAAAGCAATAAGCTAATCCTATATCACGGCTCGTCCATTTTATTAATTCCCTATGCCTCTGTAATAGGTTAATTTAATTTTTCCGGTATTCGAATCCCAAACGCCTCAATGGTATCGCCACGCTCCTTAACTTTGGACGCGGTTAATAAACATATTTAATTTAAAATACTATTAATTAAGGTCTCGTTAGCATAATACTATCGTTTCACATTACATAGGTAGGTGTAATTTTTTTACGAAACTGATATCATTATTTACGTTGTTACGCGTTACTTGGCTTACTTTATATTCGAGACTTCCTGTAACGATAGTCTGAACAATAAGTATTTAAATGCGATTTTGAACTAGTTACAAGCTTGTATTAATGAATAGGAATGTTATGGACATAGTAACAATACTATACCTGTCTGATATGGGTTCAAGGATTTATAACTTGTGTAAAAACAATGTCTACACGAGGAAGATACGTTAATGGGTTTTAGATAAAAACTAGTACGCAACATTGGCAAAATTTTCTAGTTCGCATACTATGTTTGTATGAAATGCGGGTCTTCAGAATCCGTGCATACATAACTCTCATAAAGACAAACAGTCTGTGTGTTCCTTTCATTGATCGACATTATTTCAGGCAATTAATTAAACTTCCTAGGCCAACCTTGACTGAAACTTATAAATCCGACGTGTTTGACCTCACCGACCCCCAGACAAAACACACGAATAAAATAAATCTTCGTAAATAAACAGTAAACTAGTGTTTACAAATAATTAAAACAGTGTCAACTTATTTTTTTAACTTCTATAAGACATGTAAATTATAGGTAGCCAAAAATAACATGATGATAAAGTTACTACAAATATTTCCATTACTCATAACTGAGTGCCAAATAACATACAAAAATGTTCAATATACGTGATCACATATATCTAAGCGTAATTTTAATTCACATTGAGTCGTTTTGACGGCGTTCGTTGGCGTAATGATAGCAATGTACAGCAAAATAGCTAATATTCAATCGAGGTATTCTAATCATTTCTTGAAACATGTTTGTTTTCGCCTGGTTATCTATATATTCAATGAATGTACGAATATCGAAATTCCGTCCGATTCTCGAAGCAGCGAACACAGATGAAAAAGCTGTCAAGTTTAATCGCATTTCGGTTTCAGTCTGTGGATTTTCGAATATTGAAAGCCGCAAATATGTCGAGAGCGCATCTTGTTTAGATATTATATGTCTGGGGAATTTTACCTACCATCAAGTGACCCCATGCGTTTCTGTCCTCCTCTACCACAATTAACTGAGAATTCTATTACTATCAGCTCTTTAATGGTCTCGGTATCAAGAATACGACAGAAATAAACGCTTTCATCCACTAAAGTGGTCGAAAGCGTATCGACGAATTTTTGCCTCTAGAACATGTTGGTTCCCAGGGAGCCTGTCGTAATTTAACCATACATAATTATTTTTGTAAATCATCAGAGTTTTTAACTTCAAACTTAAAGAACTTTCACGGTTTCGTATAATTGCTTAAAGCTGTTTGATTTAAATATTTCAGCATCCTTCAATTACTCAATAAACGTAAATTGGAAAAACTCAAAGAAACCTGGTGGAATAACAACCCTAATGCGGTGAAATGTGAGAAACAAGATGACCAATCAGATGGCATATCTATTCAGAATATTGGGGGTGTCTTTATAGTTATTTTCATGGGGATAGGGTTAGCTTGCATCACTTTAGGAGTCGAGTACTGGTGGTATAAATGGAGAAAGCGACCTGTTATTGGTGACGTCACACAAGTATGTATATTTTTAGTTAGCCTATATTGACACTGGTTAAGTAGTAAATATAAACAAATAAATATAAAATAGGGCAGTAAAAAATCTTTGCTATCAAATATAATAATATTTTCAACCAGATGTTTAAAGATGTATTTGCCATTCTCTAGAGTAAGGCGTTATCAAAATTTTTAACAAATAGTTCTTAATGTGACAAAATATTGACGGCACTTGGCAGTTAGTTAATAATATGAATAATTTTTTTTTCAGGTGCAACCAGCCAAAATACCAAAGAACGACTCGGATACGGTAAACGATGGAAAGCATAACGAATTATTCTCGTTTAGATCGAGAAACCTTCGGCTATCGGAATTTAAACGAAAGTTCTAAGCAACGTTCCTATTAAGTCTTTCTTTATAAAATGGTCTCATTAGTTTTAGTTGGTATGGTGAACAAAATTAGTATAAGAAATTCAATTTATACATGACATTATCTCTTCATACGATAGATGTTGTATTAGAAATAAAGCTATTGCACTCTTTTTCTGTTTTAATTAAACACAGGTTTATTAGCTAATTTTATTAACTACATAATTCGTAATCTCTTATAAAAGTACTATATTAGATGTGTATCTCTGTAATCTAGTCAATGTACAATAATTTAACCTATTCTTCACTTGAGTATTAATAGATCGACGTAAAGGCAAGAATATTTACATGATCGTTATAATAAATATTAAGTCTAGAATTTGGTTTACAATTCTATGGTTTTTCCATGGTTAATGTTCTTCATGTTCTTGTTGCAAAGTTCCAATTCCAGTCTCAAACCGTCGATCTCTGCTTCAAGCGTGCGCGAGCGTTTGAACATTTGAACGTAATTCATTTGGAGTTGTTTCTGGTATCTCAGTACTTTGTCCTTCTCTTCTGACCATTTTCTTCTTTCGTTGTTGAACTGTGCATCTTTTGCCTCTAGTTCGCATTTCAATCTGTCTACCACCGCGTTGGCTGGACAGGCTTCGTTGCACGGGTCAGGAAGTTCTCCGTTTAGCCGTTGTACTTCAGCATCTAGGGCGCTATCGTTGGTCGACCAGTACTCTGTTTTACAGACTTCGTAAATCCCTCTCATTGTCCTCCCACAGTCGATACCTTCATATCCACTCAGAGACACATCGGATAGCTCTTGCCTTAGCTCTTTTAACTCTGTTTTTAATTTTTCTATTTCATTTTTACTTGTCTCCTTATTCTTATTTAGGTCTGAGACGTTGTTCATAAGGTCTTTTGTCAGTCGTTCGACTTCTGATTGCAGTCTTTTGATTGTTTTCTGTTTGTCGTCTGTTTCCGCTCTGAGTCTCATTATTTCTTTTTCTTTTTTATCTAGAGTTTCTCTTAGTTGACGGCAATCAGCTTTCAATGTAAGATACTCATGACCTTTAGTAGTTTGCTCGTTCTGAAAGTATTAAAAAATACGTTTGAATACATTCACTTAATTTATCTCTCAACGTCTTAAAATAAAAAATATGTATATTCTTGTGATAACATTTTTGCATTGTTTGCAAGTTATTGACGAATTGTAGATATAAGTTCTTAGTGTACGTTAAAGATAGTTTTGATTTTATTTTATTATGGGTGCATGTTTTATTATTAGTAAGCACAATATTAGCAAGCCTCTATGATTTCGAAAGTAGAGCACTGGATAAAAAAGACTAAGCTATCACAACATCATCTTAACAAACCATGAACAAATACGACTGCACCTATTATGGTTAGGAAAAGTAGGCAACTAGACAACGCATAGAAAATTTGAGAAAGTGATAAAGCGTTAAATAATTATTATGGATATAAGATTTTCATAACGTGCTATAAATTATAATAATAAAGGTAATAATCTAACAAATAATATTAAATTCCATACATATGATTATTTTTTACTTTGCTATCGTAATCAAAGTGTTCGTTAACTGTTACTACTGACCTGAGCATCTTTAAGCTGAGTTTTTAAAAGCGCAATTTCTCCTGCACGCTGACAAAGGCTCCACTCAGTGTCTTCTAGTCTTTGCCTCAACAGAGCTCTGTCTCTTCTCACTCTCGCCAGTTCTGTGTCTCTTTCGTCTCTTGTTCTGCCTCCATACGTTTGGAGCATGAGCCTAGGAGCGCGTAATCGAACATCGTGATTGCGAAGACGATCTGTTGTACTGAAATAAGATATAATGTAGGTATTATACATAAAGATATTTCGTATTATATACCCTAACATCGATATTCATATTATTTATTCAAAACATTTAGGGTATTTATATTAATTTTGCTAAATGTATCTTAGGTTGGTGTCTTTGTTTTTTTATTGCACTCTGTCTATTGCTACTCTGGTCCAAGGTCCCAAAGCCAAGCGAATGTCATCCTCGTAGCATGATGACATTCGCAGTATGGTAGATACGATGCAGTGTAGAGTACACGTCTCAGTAAATTGATAATGTTTTAGTATCAGCGGCTTTTTTAATATCAAATGAACAGATAAATTTCGCGCCTGAAGAGACGCGCATTGCAAAAAAAAAACAGTATATTGTATAAGTGTATAGTAACCAAAATATTAGGTACCTATAATCGTGTTGATCTCTCTCGAGTTCAGAAACTCCGGAATCAGCTGGAGATGGGGCTGGAACGGGTTCCTTACTGTCTACCCCCAATCCGGAACTTGATTTGGTCCTGAAACGAAATTAATTACATATTAACAATGACATAAAATAATAATAAGGGATAGGCTATTTTAATCCAACCGTCACTTTATGTACACATCTTTGGCAGATCGAAGGACTCTAAAACAATAATGAATTAATTTAAAAATCGAAAATAAATTGAAAAAATTTTCGACTCGGGCAGGACTTGAACCGGCATCGTCAGCTTTCCGTGCTGTTGCTCTACCAATTGAGCTACCGAGTCCTACACCTCATATAGTGCCTTCATGTGCAATAACATGTGAAAAATATTAATGTTTTCAAACGTTATAACTTTGTAATTTCATCTTCAATGATTTCTTAAGCTGCAAAGCATAAGACATTGAGCCTTAATACGCAAGTGTTAAGGTAGAAATTACATTGCGCGAGAGGTGCATGTATCAATAAGTTGAAAAAATTCGACGATGAGGTGTAGGACTCGGTAGCTCAATTGGTAGAGCAACAGCACGGAAAGCTGACGATGCCGGTTCAAGTCCTGCCCGAGTCGAAAATTTTTTCAATTTATTTTCGATTTTTAAATTATATAGTGCCTTCATGTGCAATAACATGTGAAAAATATTAATGTTTTCAAACGTTATAACTTTGTAATTTCATCTTCAATGATTTCTTAAGCTGCAAAGCATAAGACATTGAGCCTTAATACGCAAGTGTTAAGGTAGAAATTACATTGCGCGAGAGGTGCATGTATCAATAAGTTGAAAAAATTCGACGATGAGGTGTAGGACTCGGTAGCTCAATTGGTAGAGCAACAGCACGGAAAGCTGACGATGCCGGTTCAAGTCCTGCCCGAGTCGAAAATTTTTTCAATTTATTTTCGATTTTTAAATTATATAGTGCCTTCATGTGCAATAACATGTGAAAAATATTAATGTTTTCAAAATAATGAATTAACAAAACCTTGATTAATCATGACTGAAATTAAGTGATCCTGAATCTTAATTAAAAGCAAAGAAAAAGCAAGTCGGCCTTCGAGTTTGATGGGTACTGAAAAATTTAACTGATGTAACAATAAATAAGTACCTCTTCGCATTCAAAAGTAAGAATTGTAATTAGGAGTCATAATTTAGCGAAGTGTGTGAGATAACACAGTATGGCCAGTAATTGGACATTGTAAACTGTAGCCGACTTTTATGATGGCATTTTACATCTCGCATGGGCTTATTTAGAGCGTAGCAACAATTTGCCAATAATGTTTTACATCCGCTGACGAATATTACGGTATGTTAACATAACTTGAAAGATTCCTTTTGGTCTCATTTAAGTCTGGTGTAACCACATTGAGAATTGGGAAAAGAAAGATTACTCCTCAAATTATCAAAAAAATACCTAAAATTCGCGGCAGTATATATTCAACTTTTAAGATTTACTCACAAGAACTGGTTATAAAATTTGGTCAAAATTAATGCATTGCTACCAATTTTTATTTATTAGAGTTATATCAACATAATAATATTAAGTTGGCAAATAAGAAAACAACGTTTGCTGGATCAGATAGTAGCTAATAACAGTGCCATCACAGATCATTAATTGTATTTTTTATTTACACAAGCATGTTATTTTGTAGTTATTCCTGCTAATTATTACAAAACTTTTAACCAAGAATTAAACCTTCAACCGTTTTATACAGTGACTCGTCGTCCTGAAATATTGTATCTTTAACATCAATGAACATTCAAAAAGTTACGGCGTTCTATTAGGCTTCTTTGTATTTTAATTTTTCGGGGGTATTCTGAATTGAACTACTCGTATAAGCCGTTTGGGATTACTTATGCTAAGCAATGAAAACCCTTTGTAGAGATGTTTAAGTCTACCGTAAGTCACGTCTCGGTCGAAAGACTGTCTTGGTCTGGCAACGAAGCGTGGCGTGCTCCAAGCTCAGTGCTCAACTATCAATGAGATCATCTACGCACATAATATGAAGTAAGTATTCATAACTCTCTATATTGGTTGTAACCTCGTTACATGCTAAAATATATTTTGGTCTAATCCTGACCGAACTCTTCAGTATTAGTTTATGGTTACGTGTCTGCCCCCACCCCCCATTAATTAAATATACGAAGACGAAAACATTATTCTTTATTTGTTGAAACATAATTTAATTTTGAAAACTTTATTATTTTTTACATGTTATTGCACATGAAGGAACTATACAATTTAAAAATCGAAAATAAATTGAAAAAAATTTCGACTCGGGCAGGACTTGAACCGGCATCGTCAGCGTTCCAGAGCAACAGCACGGAACGCTGACGATGCCGGTTCAAGTCCTGCCCGAGTCAAAAATTTTTTCAATTTATTTTCGATTTTTAAAATAATTTAATTTAACAAAAGTTTTTGTAAAACGTGAGGGTAAAAGCGTTTTACAAAATCTTCTGCTTTTTAAATTATTGAGGTCTATATTTAGATTCTAACAAGGGTAGACGCAGAAGAGGCACTCCTTAAAGCAAATGAGACTCGACCTAGGGGTAAGATGGGATGGGAAAAAATAACACCTTCTTTTTATGGATTTCAAACGTTAAATCTCTTCCCCTTTATGGAATATCTTAAAAGCAAAATATGTCAGGAGGGTGCAATGAATGAGATATAAGTCTACTAAAGAAATAATAATTGGCGTAGAATTACTTCACCTTGTATTCAATATCCAGCTAACGACTTCCTCGACAATTACAGAATAGAATAGTCGTATTAATTTCGTCACGTCATTGTAAGGTTTAACGAGTTAAATACTTTAACAAGGACTGCTGATTGAAGCTTGGGCTTAAAAAGGAATATTTCTTCATATTTTTTTTATTGAAGTGTTGCATTAAGAGCGGGAGGATTTGGGTTTAAGATCTGCCAAAAACGTCGATTTGACAAACGACTGATCAAGTAATCGCTATCAACATAATAGATCAATTAAACAGACAGCACCATGTCTAACACATGACCTGTTTAGAAGCTTGGACACATTTTTATTTTTAGTAATATGTACTATAATTGTTTAGTTTTAATATTTGCCATTGCAAACAGTGGGGAAGAAAGGGAAAGACACAAGAAGTTTCCTACAAAAAATTGCTTATCCAGTTTTCGTAAGTCCAAGTAAAACATTACTTTCAAACGACTGGGATAACTAACGATGATTTGTATGTAATAAGTACTCGTTGAGGATCAATGTAACATAGTAAACGGATAGTATTGTAGCATTGTCTTATTCAAAAGTGAATACTATAGAGATGGGATGTACCTTAACGGAAACAAGTGTCAACATTGACGCCTTTAGTAACTTGCCGATAAATATAGTTAAGTAAATATTTTACGTAGTATATATTGAACGCACTGCGAGCTATTATTGTAGATTCAATAAAAAATAAACGCATATTCTAAACGGAACATACAATTCTTGACCGGATGCCAATTAAAATAATATTCGTGGATATTTCGAAAGAATTAAACAATTATTTCGCGATGTCCTTCGTGGCTTTATTATGCGGATTTCGAAACAAAGAGGTGTAAACTAGCAAATTACTACAAAGTGGTGTAAAAATGTTTTCTGTTTATTTATTGGTAAGGTGTTAAACTATTATTGGATTTAATAGTTATTTACAGTTTCTTTGGTACTTATTTATAGATACATTAACAAAAGATAGCCCAACATCTATTTTTTTTTTTCATAATACTCTTGTCTTATGAAAAAAATAACAGAGAAGCAATGAAAAAGCATTAGAGGTCCTGGGTTCAGATCTCAGGAACACAATAAACACTGATCGAATACTTCCCAGTAAATAAAATCGTCGTGTTCGTAAACAGGATTTTACAATTAACATTACTATTGTTAGTTATAGGGGTGAAATATTAGGTACCTACAAGAAACACTACAAAAAAATCTTTTTTATAACTATCTATGCAAGACATATGCAATAGGTACACATTCTAACACGTTTTTTCTAATATCGGATACACGTGCTAACTTTGCATCAGCTAAAATTAGAATCAGGAAGAAAACTACGCAACGTGATCTAAAAGTTAAATGTACATAAAATGTATGTACATATAAAAATACCTTACTCGATACATGTTAAATAGAACGGAGTTTAAAAAAATATTAAAAAACCTATAGTTTATTACATACATAATACATAAATGGACAGGAAGAAGTAGATAGTACTAGACTAGGCCGATAGAGACAGAGGAAGTTATATATTATCTATGGTAATATACAGAGATTTAACTGGCACACGATTTTCATCAAGTGTAGAGTTGCTTCTTTTTAAAGCATATTATCAGCCTGTATATAACTTATAGTCTGTGGATATACCGTTCGGTTTTCAAATATGTAAGTATAGGGGTATCTGTGATCAACATTTTTTTCTTCATGCCAGTGTGCCAGGTTTTTTTCGTGAACATGGGTCACGGTTAAAGTAATTGATAACGTAATTGGTAATCATTATTGAGCAACACTTACTAAATAATTCGTGACTTTATTGGAAAGAACTGTGCCAGCTGCGCCATGGTATTGACTGCATTTTAAAATACATATGCAAAGTGCGGTGGACTATGGCAAATGACTCGATAAATATTTACCGCGTGAATCATCTTATCTCTTTGAAGCTCGATCGGAACTTCGGTTTTGATAAGATGACAAGGTAAATAAATTTAAAGTAGATTTCTTTTCTATTTCTGATCAGCAGATATGCAAGTAATTAAATAAATAGAGTAAAAAAAATCAAGACATCAGTCTATAATTAGCAATCACAAATACGTAACACGATTGTTAAAATAATAAAAACCCCTAAAAAAATATACAAATTGTAGTTTTATTCCATTTTATGTAGCAACATTTTAATTGTTTATATATGAATTATAAAAAATACAAGAGATTAACAATATGATAAGATTTAAGTTACTGTTCATCTAATCCATCATAAGCATAATAGGGAATTATGTCATAAATTGTTTTACTTCTAAAATATGCAAATTACGTTTTCGCACTGAAATCTCACCTGTACATAATGTATGTTAATTGCGAACTAAACAGAGCACATCCTAACACCATCACTTTCACTTCTCACATACGATCATTTTAAAGATTAATAAATAACAAAGAATTAAATAAATAGTGGAACACGCGCGCTGCAACCACGATGCGCGTTGTATGAATGCAGACGCGTGCTGTACCAGACCTCTAAAATGGCGCTTATTTGTCTCTTCATATTTATTTTCCAATTTAATATGACTTTTCCAATGAGAACGATTCTATAATAAGTGCCAAGTTAACGTACTAGAACAACTATTAATAATTAATGATTCATGACTAATTGTATTTTCATAGTAGCGAGTCTAGGCAAACCGAGGTAATTTACATTAATTATTATTATATAAATAACCACCTTCGTGGCTTGGTGGATTACTAATTATTAGAATTGCGTTTAAATCCCGGTGAAAAGTAACTATTTTGGTCAGGACATAAATGTAAAATTGGTTAGCGGAACAGACATAAAATTGAGTCAGCCCCACATATGCGACTTTACTATATTCTTGTATGAGCATTTTTTAAAATTTTATGTTAACAATTTCGCGACTAATTTTAGATATTTATTTCTTTATAATTTGGACTAAAGTAATAGCTACTTTAGTATCTTGAATCCGCAATGTAAAATTCAGTCCAATTATTACAAGAACAGCAACATTTTACGCCACGTTAGCACCCATTCAGCGAGATAGCCGAACATCACGCGAGTAGGGAATACATTCGTATAACATACTGCATATGGAGACGAGGGTACGTTAATAAGTTTAATTACCAGACTAATGGGCACAGTGACTCATTGACATTTTAGACCAAATTGTCTCATCCTGGGAACCGGCCACTATCTCCTTCCCGCTATTTGATTGATGTTATGACTCATACATACGGGACAATACCGACGAGATACGGGACTGGACAATTAGTATGTAAAATTGTCTCATCAAACTTATTTCAGATAAATTCCACAGGCTCATTGGTGTAATGGTAACAATGTATGGCCAATAGTCAACAGGTTGCTAACTCGCGAAATATGTTTAAAAACAATTTATAATTTTAGGGCATTTACCAGCTACGGAGTTTGAACGTACATTAAAAAATCAAATTTATATAATAATAATTGATCAGCTAATTGTGCCAGCCAGACCGAAATATATAATCATATTAAACCATAACCTTATTTTATAAGTAGTTCTTGAATGAGGTCCCCCATTAAACAGTGTAAAGGCTCTCGGAATGTTTGTTGCCCATAGACATCTTCAACACCAGAATACGACCTGGTATTTTATAATCACACTTTTTATTACTTATAATTCATAGCTACAAACGCGAGGCCAAATCGCTAGTTATTAAATAAATGAGTGCATCAATTTGGTTACATAATATCGTTTTAACTTTAGATTTGATTCCGAGTCATTAGGCAGATCTGTGGGTTGTGGATTCGCAAATCATAATTGTGCAATTTACTATTACAGCAATAAACCTATATCAAATTTAACATAACGTTACAAAAACCTTTGATAGATGCTTCTAATAAAGCTTATCTTAATAGATTATCACAATTATATTTCTTAGTATCAATACTCAAAAACTACCAATGATGTATAACTATGTAAAAAGATTATATAAACGGTAATCCAAAATTGACTTTTGAATAAATAGGAAAAAATATTGATCTCCGTTTCACTTTCATATATTTTCCTACAAAACCTAGGTAAAAATAGTCTTACGAATTAATTTATTGTTCATCGTGCTTAAGTTCTGCGCATCTATCTAGTTTAATGTTTGTATAAAATGTTACGATTCAAATATTTTCCATTTTAAATTGTAAAACATTATTGGTCTATTGTTGTTGGTCAATTGTTTACCAAAGACAATACAACAATGATAACAAACGAGGAAATTAAAAACACGACGTGTTTCGATGCTTTAAATAGGCATTACGGAGGGTTTATATAAATAAGTGTATGTTCAACATTGGTCTGACTGGGTTACTAATTGAGTATTCAATATTCAGATTATAAATAATTATATCACTTTCAAAAATGTATTATTCTACACAAAGTATATTAAATATTTTAGCTTCGCCTGCCCTTTTGGTCAAGTAGACTTGACTGCATGTCACGAGGTCCTTAATTAGAATTATGGGTCAGACAAAAAGTTAGTTCAGTTTTGGCTTTTTTAAATAAGTTTTCTTACTAGCCCAGCAATGGATATAGAAGGCGTTAATACCGTGTCGGAGAATACGTTAAGCCGTCAGTTTTAGTTTTCTTTACCAATTTCATTACGATAGTTAAAGTCCGCCAAAACATGCTCACCTAGTGTAGTTAAAAGACAGGTATTATTAATCGCGTATAACAGTTATTACTTGAATAAGTCAAATTGTATGTAGTTTAATAAACTTTACTCCTCTCTTATTTTAATGTTTCCCACAAATGACGTTTGTGACTGATACTTTAACGGCGAGAAATTTCATTTAACTATTAGCATAATAACGACCACGACAGACTGCGTCTTTATAATCTTTGTATTCGATAATTACATTCGCTGTGATTACTGTAAATTCCTAGACAGTAGTTGGGTATGCGCTTATACGACAGCGAATAGCGAAATAGAATAGAAATAATAAAATGAAAAATCACGTACCACATTTAGCATATGTGAAAAACCTAGTGAAAAAAAGGAATTTTTTTAATTAAAACAATTGTAACAACGGTTTAAAACGCGAAATATATTTTTGTTACGATGTGTTTATGACACGGCGTTTCGGATGCTTTGCAGTTGTGGTCGGTATAGATAATAAACCTCCAATTAGTAGAAATCTAGGCGAGTTTAAATTAATATATTGTCCTTTATATACACACTTATTAAGCAGCGATATCTCTAGCACCAATTAACTCCTAAGTTCCATTACAAAATGGCAACCAGTGCACATTATTTTTACTAGTAATTACCGGTACCGTATTTACAGTATAATTAATGATATTGCTGATGTAGCTGAGTAGACAAGAGCTTAACCATGTACTATCGAGCTGGTTTGTTAGATTAATGATTAGTGACGGATAATTAATGGTTAATTACTTGTGGGCGCGATGAATCTTATTTCTTATTCTTGTAAAGTAAGGACGAAGCTGATCCGATTCGATAATGGAAGGTTGTTTGGTGCTAGCGCCAGCGGAACAAAGTGTTTGCTTTTTACGTCCGATTTCTTATTATTTCAATATCAAACGAATTCGTTATAAGCTTCTTTTTCACGATGCTCAGAGTACGGCGTAAAGATTATTAGGAATATATATATGTGAATAACAATGATAAGTTAACATTAGTAGTTATGATAATATAATTACTTACACTATAGCGGAATGATGCCGTTGGTGTAGTGGAGCGGAGAGCGATGGCGGCGGTAAAGCTGAGAGAGACGCTGGTTGTGGCGACCCGCACCAACGCGACTCACGGACATCTGAGGAACCTAATTACAGTCCCTATTTAAATATTACATTAATTTAATTAAGCTTAGCTAGTATCCCCGATCTAATCAGTTATAATTAAAATAGAAAGACAATTTAAAAAATAACTTACTATTAATAATATTACAAAGACAAAGACTTTTTAAAGATATATCATTGTTTTTCGGGCTGTTCGGCCGACGTGAGTGAGAAGAGGTTCTCGACGTTTCGCGATCACGAGCGGACGGCATCATCAGATGTTAGTTCCTCGATTGCTAATTCTCGTGATGCCGAAAAAACAATAATATGCTAAACGATGGCCGTGAAAGCCTTACACGATTTTTTAGTTTTTAAAGAATTTTCAATAGCAGTGTTTGCAACATTAGAAAAATCAATGACGTATCTTTTTTTAGGATATGTGTAATAAAACTAAAAGTATTAATTTCTCTTACATTACAATGATATAAGTAACAATTGACTACTTTACTGACATCTATCTATTTCACATTTCTACGTAATTTTAGCCTATCAATAATGTATGTAAGGTTCTTATAAAACAAAGTTCGGTTTCTTTGTTAGTTTTAGCAAATAAACTTACTGCCATATAAAGTCATAAGGGATGGCGGGCGACTTGCTAGCACGGGAGTAGATCCATATCGCTCGCCTCCAGCGGATAAACGTCCACCCAGCGGCTTAAACGCTATCGGTCGGATCACCGATTTGCCCTGTAATAAAAGACAAAATACAATTATTTTCATAGATCGCACGATTTGTTTGTTCGTGTCCATCTTCTTATAAAACATCAAATCTTATAAAACATCAAATCTTATAAAACGTCAAAGTCCTTGTTATAATTAAACAAATAATAAAGTAAACTCAACACGCTAATCGCTCGCTTTTGGGATGTATACATATCGTAATGACAATTTATCTATTCATCAAGCGTAACCAATTCAGAAACGTACATACATAATCTACACCTTATTATATCTACACCATAAATGCTTTCAGTATGTATAGTTTTATTTGCAGATGGTATAGTTACTCGTTAAAGAACGGAGACGTTATACAGCAGTGTAAGGGCACAAGCAACTATATACCATCCGAAACGTCGGGTCGCAGTTCTGAATTAATCAACTGATATAGTTTGCGTTTTAAACCGTCAAAAATCTTTTGCTTAATGTGAATAATAACCGTAAACTACTGATGCAACCAAGTTAAAGAAATTTTGCAAATGTATCACTTGTAATCTATAAGTACAGAATTGATAAATTCAATTTAAACAAAAATCTATTTCCCATTCCGATTATGAAAATAAGATATTTTCAAATCGTATTCGACACGCTATATTCGAGATTATAATACAATTTATTACATTTATCTTATTTCTTGCCGCACGTATTTGACATTTCGTACGTAATCGACGCAATAAAATATAGACAAAGGTTAGAATTAAAGTGGGGTTCACAAAAGTAAATTGGACTGTAAGGATGTGTAACTCTCTCTTTTATGATGTAATTGACCAACAAAGTGATACTATAAAATTAAGACTAGGTATCTAAGTTTGTAAATGGTTAGTAGATTCGTCACTGATTTTAATAACTGACAAGTAAGTGCCTTTTGCGCTATTATATAGATTGGTTTTTAAATTTTGAACCCATGACTACATGAGCTTTACATTTAAGCTACGAAAGCGTCTGACACAGTTCAAAACACCAAAAGCAATCCAAAGCAAACGTTCTTATCTGAAACTTATATCGTCAAAAGTATGCCGCCTTTTGCATTTGCCGGGAGTTGTTTCTCATCACTCATTCTGGTACAAATATTTGTAGAATACCCTCCTAAAGCAAACGACTGCATCGTGAGAATCGGTTCACAGTTCAAGGACCTAAGCGTAATAATAAGTTACTAATCCTTACTAATATTATAAATTCGAAAGTAACTCTGTCTGTCTGTTACTCTGTCACGCCAACAATACTGAACGGATTTGAATGAAATTTGGTATACAGATGGTCTAGACCCTGAGAAAGAACATAGGCTAGACATATACTTTTTATTGCGAAAAAGGGTTTGTAAGGAGTTAAGGGGGGGTATTAATGTAATTAAAATTATATGTATTTAAAATGCGAAATATATTACTTAAACTTGTATGCAAATCTACAATATATTCGGTAGTTTCGGACAAATCTGCCCGTGACCACGGCTACTGCAAAGAATCCGAAACGTCGGAGTGTAGTTAACAATATTTAAAAAAAAGTTTAACTAATATATTTCGTGTTCTAACCCGTTAGTGTTTTACTTAAATTCATTATTATTGTTCACGTTTTAAACTACCATGAGCGTTATTTAGCCAACAATTTTTAGTCTGTTTAATAGAATCCAATTTTCCAAAGAAAGCTACATTCACGGTTATTACAGTTTCTTAGTTCTTAGCTTTAGGCTAGAATTGCTTTCTGAAGATAACTGTAGAGTGTAAGCCAGATTTACCCTTAATGAATAGTTAGAGGAGATTGTTCCGACGATAATTTATTGTACATTGAAAGTGTTAGCGATATTATCATTGAATTATCCTCGATGATAATTTCTAATTATTAACCAAGCACAAATTAGAGGGAAAAGTTTGTTATATTCACGGATTGGACATTTCACTTGTAAAAAAAATGTATAAGACTTATTAGCGAAACAAAAAAACACGACCGCCAGTATCGTAGCGTTTGTTATATTAAAAAAATATTTAATTTATGAATACTGTATTATAAATGAGAGGTATAATTTCAAAGATCAATAGATCATACATATATAGGTCTTGATTTCAAAGGTTATATAAATAGTAGGTAATCGTTACCATCATGAAACTATGTCCATAATGCACAGAGTAACTAGCAATAACGTCGTGAAGCGTATTTGCATCAACTACATCAAACGCTAAATAAATCGAAGTGGAAATTGCGTCTGTTTCTAGGCTATACGTGGCAATACTAATATTTCACGATCGTGTCGTGTCCTGAAGTATTCCGAAACAAGAACTAAGTATTGTGAGATCTCAATTGGAAACGTGACTAAATCTTCATTGTGTATGCATTGATGTTAGGAGGATAAGCTGTCACTGCCGACAGCTACGCGAAAAGCTCGTGAAAGCTTTCATTAGTGATGGGAAAGTCGAGATCGATTGAAAATGGTATATTTTACCACTATTGTTATATTACGGTCCCTATGTTGGATAGAGGCTTCCTTAAGGGGAAAAGGTGGTTATAGTGGCGGGCTTTAACAACTACAGCCACTAAATTAATGATGATAACAGGGGCAGTTCAATCGTGCACTCCGAGGAACTGTAGTGATGGCCTGAGTCCAAACTTTAACTTCAAATCATATTGTGTGTATGTCTGCATTTATAAAACATAAATGCAGACATACACACAATATAGTTTTAGAAATAACATTGAAAACCAAGAAATAAAGGTCTTATTTAGTTATAAAGTTACTTAGTTATAAAGCTGAAGAGTTTGTAAACCGCTTATCTCAGGAACTACAGGTGCGAATTAAAAAATTATTTTTGTGTGGAGCATTTAACGAGGAAGGATATCAACATCACGCTGCGACTAAAAGTAAAAAAAGTGGAAAGAATAAGAATTTAACTTTGAGGGTTTCCGTTGCGCTGCGAAAATATGTATGAAAGAATGATTCCTCTGTAAGAGCTTTTAATGAATGTTTTAATGAATCTTTTAAGATTAACTCACAAGAACCGTTTTTATGGTAACCAAACTTGGTCAAAATACTTCATATGGCAATATAACATTTACCAGGTCAGCTAGTTAGAAATGAGAATAAAATAATAAATTCTATCGTAGATTATCGTACATCACTAAATCTCCCTAGAAGTGCTAGAAGTCTGAACGGACCTGTGGTCGACCCACATCAAGCACGCCTGGGTGGCTTCCCATGATTTATTGCACCTCCATACAAAATCACCGTTGTTGCTATTATATGCTATTAACTTTTACCTGTTTCTCTGATACGCTACACTTTGTCATAGGAGTTTGACCTCTATGCTATTAACAGTAAGCGACTATTATGCTCTGAGAGATGCTACAAAATGGTTAATTACTTATTAGTTCTCTTTGAATTGACTATGTATAATAACTTAATCTGTGGGCAAAGTCCTAACTGAATATACAGAATGTGTTTTAAATAATGTTTTACCATTTAATTATTGTTTAATGGTTGTACTATCATGTCAACGATTTGGAATTGAGAAGTATACAATAAATAAAACAGTTTTAATGGACTAAAACGTTAAATACATTACATACAATTTATTTATTTTTAATGATTTGGAGGAGGGGTTAAAACAGTTAAATTTAATGAAAATACCACATTCTACACATATTTAATTGATTTGTTTAGGATAAATAAATTTAAAACAACACACTTGACAAGACAGTAATAACATACGAAACACAATAACATAAATTGCGTGTTACATAGGAATTGTTGCCCTTGCATGCACATATGTAACTTAAATCCCTAAGGGCTCTCCCACGTACAGTAGTTACGAGCTACACGTGTGATTTCAGTTCAGACAAAACAATATTCCGTCCTTGTTTTATCTCAGGAATATGAGGGAGTCAGGTTCGACCAAACGAAACAATTTTAAAGAGCCGCTAGCTATATCCCAGGCTCTTACGCATACTCGAGTCTGAATTTACAGAATTGAGAATTGAATACATGTCAATCTTTGAAGGGTTGTGAAATTGATGTAATTTTTGTCAGACGTTAAAATATAAAATGTTCTGTAATAGGAGGTAGTTCGACATGTCAAATTTTCAACTGATCTCTATAGAGAAAGGTATAGTTTAAATCCGCAACATATTACAATCACTTTATGATATATTAGCTCGAATTGTAGTGTGTTTTAGGAATTCAAATTAAAGCCGGGGTTGACAACCTAAAGGGTTTTTTAAACAACATTTAAGTAAATATGTTATCACTATTTATTATCGCGTGTTGGTTCTCAGTACATTAACAGTTACTGGCCATGGGCGATGCGCAACCGGACTTTTCAAATACAAGAAATGTAAATAAAACCTTCATAGTTATCTTTTATCATCCGTTTTATTAATTAATAGGCCTTCATGAGCCTTTCCGGTCTTTAAACATTTTAAAACCAGTGCTTTGTTAATACATTAAGAACGTTGCCTTTTTACCCATTTTCTAGGACAGAGTAGAACAGCATGAGATTCCCTTGAAGGTAGATTATATCCCTCAGCCTTATCATCTACGCAAGGTACACTGTAAGAATGTATGCGAAACGTGATTACATTTTTGAATTTTCTATCATTGGATATACACTTGAACGGAATTTCGACATTGCTACCGTCCATTCAATATGCAATTTTCTAGACAAAATTCAACGTGTTGGAATTAGAGTACATCAAACCAAGAATGATTGTTGCCACAGCTATTCATCTTACTGACCGAAAAGCTACTACTACTAATTATACTTAAACAATACATAATGCGTTTATACCAATGTCCGGGTCATAAAAGAGAATACAGTACGTCGCACGATCGTAAATTAAATGATTACGATCTTAGCAAGACGCTTTACAAGGCCAAACAAACTTGCCTGACAGATAACCCTTGTTAGGACAATGTATGGTCCATGCATATGGATATCAAACTTCCAGCCTTTGATCACACTTCCATTGATAGAACAGGAATTAAG